ACGCAACATTCCAGAAGTCAGCCTTCTTCATGCTCGTCGACATGAGAACTGAATATCTAAACTTTAAATTTATGCAACATTTTTATTTTTACCCGGGTGTATTACCAGATTAATTTAGGCATTTTATAGTCATCTATTCGTAAACAAATTCTGTTTTATTTTGCGAATATCCATGTTACATCCAGTCTGCGTATTGCTGTTTGTGGAAGAAAAGTGGTTTTTAATGTAAAACAGGCTTTCGGGGATAAGCCATGTCGAATGTTGAAAGTTATGGACCACTTCGTCATGCAGTTGCCATGTTCAGGGTGATTGTTTTGGTTTGGTGTTTTAGAAGCTCTGTATAAGGCAAGAACCGTTTTGGCTCTGCCGGTCATACCCATCATGCAATTGTGTTTGTATATAAATATGTATTAAATTTTGATGTAAAATAGTACGGTACTCATTTTGTATCATATCATTTGTTCGATACGTTTTAATTACGAATCACAACATTATGCTAAATTTTGTTATTATTAAGAGTTGTAAATTGTATCTCTAACGAATATTTATCAAATATTAAATTTAAATATGTCATAATTTAGGTTTTGATTTGAAGTATTACTCCATTTTGTATCAGAGTATTTATTCGATATTCTTTCGTTGGGAATCGCGAAATTTATGTCCTCTTAGAACTGAAATAAAATGGACCTTTTGAATTCTGAAATACTGAGAGTGTTCTTTGATTTTGGTTAGAACTTGAGCTCTGTGAACATCGGACGATTAATTATAAAGAATGTTGTGTTTATTAGACTTTTGCATTTTCAGAATTGTTACGGATGGCTGTGATTTTATCAGATGGATGCGCTAGAGAGTGACCCTCAAGTCACACGCAGACATATAAGAATCCTAGGACGCTATATTACTAAATACTCATAATTTTGCACAGAAAGTTTAATTTAGCCTATACAAATTTTAATCTGACTGGATTACAGCGATTGTGCAGTAAATAAATTGAATTCTAAAGATGGCTTTCTTCTGGATTGTTGCGCCGTGTAGTATATCTGAAGATCACCAACGTTTCAGAGGTCCTTGCTACCTCCATCATCAGGGTAACAAGGACATCAGAAACGTCTGCTATTTAATATTATACTAATCGGTCCTTCATTTTAAGTGTACTTAATTGTTTTTCATAAAAAGCTCACACTATGGACAGGAATTCTTCTGTTTACTGACGCCTCTGAACACCAAAAATATTCATAATCGATTAAGTCAGTGTTTGTACGAGATTTCACGTTTGTGGCAGCAAGATTTTAAAATGAAAGTAGTGGTACCGAGATATCATCGCTTAAATTTTCAAATGACGAGTTCCTGCTCAAGTCGTGTGCAGACGTCTTCTGATTGGCCAAGCAAAGCAAAACCCGACTTGCCTCTTGCGTGATTTTATTTGTGGCAACAGTGTTGTCGGAGTTGACCTCTGAGACCACGGCCTCTTCGATCTCTGAGATGATCTCTTTCAGCGTGTTCTTGATGCTTTCTTGTTGAATCTCAGTGGCGCTGGAGCCGTTCAGCGTTGGCACTTCCTCTCGTTCCACGGCCCCCGCGATACCTCTTTCTGGTACGGGCTGTGGAGCTTCTCTGGCATCCAAATTGCAGCTTGCAGTTTCTTGTTGCGAAGACGCGGAGTGCTGAAATAGTTGCCAGATTCGAAGAAACAAATTAATTATAGTAAAAATCACGTCCCTGGGCTTACATAGCCATTCAAATAAGATCTTTATAACTTTATAAATTTCCTCAGAAATCATACAAGTTCCTGGCAATATTTCAGTCGAAGTTTATGTCTCGTTTTAAATTAAAATCATTTATTGTAGTGCGGTTGCCTTAAAGACAATAACATATACAGGATGAGCCTAAAATATGTTTACAAACTCTGTGTGTGTGTGTGTGTGTGTGTGTGTGTGTGTGTGTGTGTGTACGTACCTGGATAAAAATAAGAAAAATTTTCCTGTGAACACGTGGTCGCAAATACTTCTTTTAAAAATAATAGCCAAAAATAATTTTCAACGTATGCCTTTATTGCCAAGTATAAGGGCAGGGATGTTTCTTTGCATAAACGACGGACTTCAAGTGACCCCACAGATGAAAGTCCAATGGAGTCAGGTCCGGTGACCTCGGTGGTCATGCTACTGGGCCTCCACGCCCAATCCATCGCTGAGGATACTGTTTATTGAGATGATATCTGACGCGATGGGAGAAGTGTTCTGGGGCTCTGTCGTGCATAAACCACAGTTGTCTTCTTGCATTCAGTGGTACATCTTCAAGGAGACGTGGCAAGCGTCTTCTTAAGAATCACCGATATGAAGGTCCTCTTAGACGTGATGGAAGCATGTGTGGACCAATAAGCATGTCGCCAACAATTCCTGCGCAAACGTTAATTGAAAATCTTTGCTGGAAGCTATATTCACTTTGGTATAAAGTCAATTCATTGAAATTTATTTTTGGCTATTATTTCGAAAATGAAACATTTGCGACCCCATGTTCATAGGAACATCTTTCTTTATCCTGGAACACGAACACAAAGTTTTTAAACACACTTTTGACTCAACCTATATTTCTGTTCTGTAAATGCTCTAAAAATACAAAATTGAAAATTGCAGTAATTTTGAGAATGTACACCTGAGCGACATTTCTTTAATTACATTAAGTTTCCTGTGTTAATTTGATGTGCAGGTGGGTTATAATAGCTTGTAGGTGATTCAATTGGACAATATGCGACTCTTAACATAAGTCTTTACCGCAAGTACCTAAAATTATAGGCATATCTCTTTAGTGGAAGTGATAAACGAACCTAATTTCTGCTGATGTTTAGTAGTGTATGCCTCCTGCATATCTCTTGAGGATTTCTAAATTGAATTAGTGCGAAACGACAAACATGTGTGGAAAATGTTCTTTTGGACATCGTCCATCGTCTGATTATAAAATTACGTTTCGAATGCTGGACCTACAGCTCTGATGCTCTCTCATTTAGAAGGTCCAACAGATAGGATTTCTGCCCTCTTTCCCCCATTTACCTGATGACGAAAGAATAATTAATCTTTCGTAACGTCGTAATTTCATAATTATATAATTTACACGATGGACAGATTCTTAAAGAACAATCGGTATCACTAAATTCTTGGAACATGTCCATCGTCTGTGTTTTTTTAAAAAGAACCCGATTGCAACACACCATCGTCAGTGCCCTTTAAAATTTACTTCTAAAGAATAATTTTACACATCTTCAGAAGCCCTCAAACTTAGAGTAATAAACTTTCATATAAATTATGAATGAAACATTTATGCATATCATGCTGAAAATAATCGTGGTTACGGCTCTAATCTTTGAGTTATGGTTATAAGTAAAACAAACGAAAACCGAACATTTTTAGCCCCTTCCAGCATATTTAGGTTTTTGAGAAAATTGAATTTATTGAATTGATCGTGTCATAGTGACGTCAACCGTGCCCCGTCTCACCTCTTCAACCACTTTTCCGTCTTCCTCCCTCACGAAGAACTCCTGGGAAATTTCCGCCTCGTAAACCTGCTGTTGAGGCCCCGTGTCGTCAGATGGTAGCACCTGAGGAGCAGCTTCTGGCTCCTTGTTTCCACCCGCTTCGATGGGATTGTCCTAATCGAACAACAGTCTCACTAAGATGGCTGTCTTCTGGGTTGTGGTAGAAATGTACCGACGTTTCAGAGATCCTTGCTGCCTCCATGATCAGGGTGGTGATGGAGGCAGCAAGTACCTTTGTCCAGTCAGAAAATACGTATTAAATGTGAGTTAGAAAAGATAATTACGGTAGGTCACTTGGGAGTAATATTAAAATGGTTCTCAAGGAAGTGTGTTGCGAGATTATGAAGGACATGAATGCAGATTGGGATTAAGTGCCTAGCGTTTGTAGCGACGAGAATGAATCTTGAGTTTTTATGAGAACAGGAGATTTCTTTTCAAGTAACTGTTGAATGAAGACTGCTATGCAATTAATTCCTTTCCTTACTTCAGTTGATGAGTCTGTGTACTTGAATAAATAATATAATAGTCTACAGATGTGGCGAATGTATCCACCTTTGGTATTGTATGGGAGACTTGGAGATAACTCTGTCAATAGTGCTTTTGATCTCAATAAAATAGATAAGAATACTTGTAGAGACAATTACGGTCCTAAAGTAATAAAGTTTTAGATCTTAAACCAGTAAAATATATAATAGAAAGCCACAGCTCTAATGGCCCGTACGTCTGTATAGAATGTAAAATAAAACAAAGATTCGTTGTGGTTGTTTCTGACGCCCGAAGATTGAAATGTCAGCAGTGTGTTGTTGCCAATTCGAGAAACACGCAGAGCCTTGTACATTTTTTCGCCCGGTTAGAATGTTATTTTTGTTGCACACTTCTGTGGCATGTTATATGACTGGCCGTGACAAGTCTGAACCTGTTAATGAAATTGCTTCACATTTTGGGATTATATTAAACAAGGCATTGCAAATTTCATTGTCGGTGAAGATTTCTGTCTTCTGGGTTATTGCACCGTATAGTATGGTAAACGTTTCAGAGTTCATACTGCCTCCGTCATCAGGGCGATGAATCGACTACACAACGCAACAACCCAGAAGACAGAAATTTTCATACTCATCGCCCTGATGACGGAGGCAGTATGACCTCTGAAACGTTGGTTAACATCTACCATACTACACAGCGCAACAACCCAGAAGACAGAAATCTTCATACTCATCGCTGTGAGAACCTCAAATCTTAGATTTTTGCGATTTATTTCACGACGCTGGCAGTAGGTTGTTATAAAACTGCTAATAATAGGAAGACCAGAGAGTAATTAATTTTAAATGGTACGGAATTAAGTGGCCCTGGCTTAATTTATTGAACTATCCAGGCATTTCGCTGGAGTGACTGCTTAAGACCACGTACAAGCTCAGCCAGGGCACCCGATTTAGAGGCCTTATACTTGAACCAGGAACTACCCAAATACGAAGCAGGCTTGCCAACTATTCTACCACAACGTTCGGTAGTGATCGTCTTATTCACATAAATCGAACGGATATGTCCATGTTGTTGTTGTTTTGACGAGTAGGGTCGTTAGTAGATTCCATTGTTTCTGAGAAACATACTGTCTTCACTATATGTATTTTAGGCGTGAGGTTCTAACGGCGATGAAAATGAAGATAATGTTCAGGGTTATGTCGCAGTGTAAACTCGTGAGTAGAACTTCAGCCCCAAAGATGGGACAGTTTTTATTTTTGATCTTGTATTGCGTCAGATGAGATATGATAGAACGATTATGAATGATCCAATAGGAAATACGTTGAAGGGGACTGTTGCGGTCTGTTATAATCTGTATTTGCTTTAAACAGCGATTATTTTCTTAACAGCATTAGTATATTAATGCTTCTAATGGTGAAGTGTTTTCTTTGCGGTACGGACTGAATTATTAGATATTATTTAGACGAGCTTCGACTTCAAAGGGTTAATTTGGAAAGAATGGGAAAATCAAGAGAAATATGGGCCAAAATGGTTGAACTCGGTCCAGTACCTTCTGAAAGCGAATCAGTCGTGGTACTGTTTTTCGAGGGCGACCGATCACCCACGGACTACATTGCACAGTAAGAATGAAACAACCGTTTACTCGAGGTCTAAGGGATGCAGCATGTTGGGTTTTCATCGCTGGATTGACAGTCCGTTTACATATAATTTTTTCATTACATTTTAAATGTTTATCAAGATCCACTACATGTTTCGACATTAATTAGTCATCTTCAGGTGGTTATTTTTAAGTTTTCGAAATTAATAAACATGTCTGGTAATTTCCATACACATTATATGCAGCTTACCAATTTCAGTAGACTTAACCATGTAGGTGCAGTTATCGGTGGAAAGCTGTAGCTGAAATATATACGTAGTCCAGTCTACAAAAATAGATAAGTAGCTTAAGACACGGTCAAATTACACAGTGAAGTCGACAACAGAAAATGCGTATACAAATTAACAGCCATATGTGTTAGAATCGAACAATTAAAGAAAACCACCTGAAGATGACCAATTGAGGTCGAAACATGTAGTGGATCTCGATAAACATTTAAACTGCTATGATAAATTGTTGTCAATCTAAAAACCATTTTATCTTCGGACAGACGTGTGTTTGGGTAAGTGCTGTGTGGGATGGCTTACGTTCGTTTGTGTGGAGATCCAAATTTGCCTTTGATTGGATTTAGAACGCAAAAACATTTTAGAGAATGCCCAGAAATGGATTCTGAGTTCATAAAACGTACATAAAAATTATTATTTTCGTAATAAAATACTTTATTGGCATATAAATTTTAAATTACTTTGGGAATATTCTCGCTGTATTCCGAGCAGTCTGAACAGAGAAGTTAGAGTAGGGCAAAGCAAAATGTCTTCCTTACAGATATAAGCTTTAAAAATTTTTTCTAATAGAAACCTTCTTATAACAAAGAAAATCATGATACAGTAGGATATATTTATATTTTCTATTACTTCGAGATTCTGACTCCTCGTAAGAAGGTGCAGAATTTTCATTTCCGGTCACCTGAATTTCGAAATATGGAGCATTCATTGTGGGCTAACCGAAATTCTTCCACGAGTTCCGAGCAAATGAATCAGTAAATGACACTTAGGAACTGTTGGGTTATATGTTCACCTAGTCCGTGATGGTTTGGTTATGGCAATAAAATTCGTTAGATTAGCTTCAAAATGTTTGGGAAACCATGTTTTTATACTTTTTTTCCTTTGTTCATTTCTGGCGAAACTCTTTTACTCTACTTCCCGGAAATGTCAGTTCGTGTCACTTAATACAGGTGTCCCAAAAAGATATATACACACAACCATTATATACGTCATCATCGTGTATACATCGTTTTTGGGACACCCGTATGTCCCATGTGTAAACATTCTTGCTGAGAACAGAGTTAGACCTATGGAGTTCTTTTATAGAACTGGGCGTCATATTTAGGGAAATCTTTGTTAAATATATTCCAAAACATTTTGAAGCCCGTATGGGTTGAAAGTAAGAAAAAGCAACATAATTTTTAAACACATCTTTATTTGTCTTTTATGAAGGGAATAAACATTTTGTATACATGCACTGGATATAACAGTTTATCACAAAATGACATAAAATTTTGAATTTGGAGTCAGTACAGTTCAACAATCCTTGCAGTGTAATAACTTGCTGTGGAGGTGGGGGTAAGGCTTAAGGAGGGAACGTGTCCAGTTCTATGACAGCGACTCCATTTTGCAACTCTTTCTTCCACAAGTAACGTAAAAGTACTATCACATAATATAAAATATTGCGGATTTTCAATGTCTTTTTCTTTCTTTCAAAAAGTAGAATAATAAGAAAATGTGTTATAAAAATACAAATACGGTGTAGATTTGAATGTACATTAATTAACAAAATTATTTTCTATACTTACACACAGGATCTATTTGCAAGACGGACGGACTGTTCTAATTAAAACTGCACCTAGTATATTTGTGTCGTATACAAAATTGAATAGGCATGTATTTTATTTACATAATAGTTTGAACTGGTAACCCTCAAAGCCAGGTCATATTTATTGTTTCTTTGTTGTACAAAACTAACAATGAGATGATAAAGTTGCGTCATATTGTGATAAATATATATTTGTTTAAAATATTACTATATTTAATATTTTAATATTTAATAGGAATTTTATTGTGATTAGACTGACAAGATTTAAACAAAAAAACTAACAATGTAGACTATTTTTGTTGGTCTGTAGAAAGGAATTAATTGAAATGCAGTTCCAACAGCACAAATACCACAAAGATGTCGGACGAAAACATCAGTTTAACGTAGGTCTAATTGGACGCGAGAATTTAAGTTGGACCGGCTTGATAGGCCAAGGAGTTTATTTATTTATTTATTTTTTTTTTTTTTCAGTTTACAGAAACATCGTGGATCCGGGTCATGAGGTATATGAGCTACAGAATTTGTCTTCAGCTTTTGTCCCTCAAAATTTACTTTGTATATAAATTGAACGCGTGGGATGTGTGGATGGTGTGTGTATAAAATACTGCACAGATGTGTACAGGATAGCACCTCCTCATAATTTACAATGCATTATCTATACTTCTGATGTCTTGAGACTACATTTATCACATTAAGGATAGGAAGCATTACAGTGTTACGCATGTTAAATAAACAAAATGCGTGATTTGAGCAGTTACTTGAATTTTGAAAGGAATCACAGATGCTTTGTGACAGTTGGTACATTTTGATAAACATTAGAGCTTTTTTAATAAAACAGGAAATTAGTACAGGGGCGTGTTGTTGTATTTTGAGCCTCATGTTCTGGGTTGCATAGCTAAACAGATTCTGTAATTTATAATTTATAAATTTAATCAGACTAGAATAAATACTAGCATTGTCGGAAAATATGGATATTTTACCGTGTTCTTTCTATGTTTTGTATGATCTCAGCCTATATTTTATTTGCTGATTTGTTAGCTTCAATAATGTGTTTGTTAATCGCTTTTAACATCTTTCGGCGCACCGCAAAGAAAATATTTCTCTAAAGGATTATGACTGATTAATTTATTATTAGCATAATGGAAGGATTTTCTCCGACCATGGTTTTTAAATTTAAACATGCAGAAGTTCAATAAAAGTTACATAACGTTACTCAAAGCCCTGGACAGATTGTCAATCCTTGACAAAGACGTATTCCATGTTTTAGTGCGTTTTTAATAAATTGAATGAAGCTACTTCAAGCAAATGTCTACAAATGAGTGGATGTTTATACTTTTGGAACAGGGTAGAGGCGCCGAATTTGTTCCACGCGGCCAAACAACACGCCCCCGGAACCAGATCCTTAGTAACCGGTCTGTAGGCGTTTCCGTTGAGACGAGACTAGAACTCAATTGTCTTTACCTGCGTCGACCCCTCGATACCGATGGACGAGGAGGATACGCGCTGTGCCGTCACGGATGACGACACACTACTCGTGGACGAGGAGACGATGCGAGTGGAAGAGCTGCTCACAGATCGGTTGCTCTCTTCGACTTTCTTCGAGACCTCCTCCGACTGAAATTCGCTCGATTTCTCATGGATCTTCCTGTTCCCAATCTCCTTCGTTACCTGAGCAGAGAAACTCAAGCTTACACTTTACGCTGACTGTTGTAAAGCGAGGATGTAACGTTATAATACATGATGACTGTACGGTCCTGCAGAACTGTCCTAGACGGCTAATGAATTTTATTTAAATTGGATGCAGTTTTGGTGACATTATTACCATTGAAATTCTGCTTTTAAATTTTTTTGAAAATGTAACGTTACTGTCGGTGTTGGCCTTCTGGTTTGTAGGTCTGTGTAAACTTGTAGGTGGATACCAACGTATTGGAAGAACATACTGTCTTCATTTTCAGGGGTGGAAGCAGTATGTTGATACAGTAAGGACCAGATTACATGCTAGCTGAGCTCCCTGGTGCTGTGGATAGTTGAAATCGGCACGGCCTGGTCGGTGCACGGAACGGCCGGGTAGAAAAAGCGTGGAGGTGCGCGCGCAGTCCTTATCACCCCCGCGCGAAGAGCTCGCAAGTAATCTGGTCCTTACTATATATACCTACCAAGCCCACACGCCGTTACAAGTCAGAAGACCAGCACAGACATCTTGACCACCGTGAGAACCGCAAAGCTCAAGTCACTGGTTAGCGCCGTTACAGCATTGGTCGTTTTCAACAAAGGAGGTGAAAAATAACATGCACATACACGTTTATAATCTCCCATCATAAGGACTAGCCCTGTAAAGTCCAGTGGAATGTACCACAAACTTTAATAATCAGTGACATTACGTTGTTCCTTCAAAGTGTATTTGTGGGTTTTGTATAGTTCTCTTAATAGACGGTGACTATGCCCCTAAACAGCGTGAACTAATTGATCTTTGTAATGGATATATGTTGTTTTTTCCTTGATGTAAGAACTGAATGTTTGAATTTTATCTAGATGATCTTCGGCTTCAAAGGCTTAGTTGACAGGTTGGATGCCAGACATGATTCCTCATGACCACCTCAGTAATATATTATAAAGGTGCTGTACAGTAAGCTCCACGTTACAAACAGTTGCTTTCCAAACGATCTTTTGCAAGTCTTCTTCTGTTCAGAACTCGGTATAGGAAAATCAAGTAGATCTGCGTTCAGATGACCGGTCGCAGGATCACCCGGTTGCATACTAAGTAGGATTTGAGGTTTACGCTGCGTGGAGTTCGAAGATGGCTGTCTTTTGGGTTATGGCGCCGTGTATTCTGGTAGAAGTTTACCGACGCTTCAGAGGTTCTTGCTGCCTCCATCATCAGGGCGACAACCCAGAAGATAGCCATCTTTGGTTGCATACTGACTACTAGGCAACAGTCAGACAAACAAAATAAAAATAAACTTAAGAACATTATCCCTTTTTACGGTGAGAATCATACGATTGTTAAAGTAGATGGTACATGTAGTTACCACTGGGCTTTAATTGTTTCAGCAGCTCTTGAAGATGATTTATGTACATGCAGAAGGGCGCTGAGGCCAATAGTAGGCGTTTCTTTCTTTCTGTAACTTTGATTCTAAAGAAACCATGCAAATGAGGTTAGGTTAGGTTTTCACGAAGGTGTAAATTTGGACTGCGGGTTTTTTGGGCAGTGGCGCCGTTTTAATCTTAGAGATGGTTACCATCTTGTCGGAAGAACTTATCGTCTCCATCTTCAGGGCAGAACCCCTGAATATGGTGGCCATATATGTTTTTTGTTGTAGGTTTTTATAACGGTTTTGAAGCAATATGTCACTTCCATATTCGGGGTAAAGCCCCTATAGGCGATCCTCCGAAACGTTGGTAACCACCTAAAAGTCCAAGTCAGAGAACTACATCTTTTCGACCATCTATCACAACGTATTTTACCTATTCTCAGGTAGCCTACAAATATGAAAGCTGTCTCCTCCGTTCACAGTTCTAAAACGCGCCATACCTTGGTGTAGGAATTGATATAGCATATTAAAATAAGGAACCAACAGTCTTTATTCTGGCCACATACTGATGCGTTAAGGACCAGGCAGTGTGGAGGAAGAACGCAGAAGAGCAGGGATGAAGCCAAGAGACCTATAAATTTAGTTAAAAATACGCGACCAGTGGTTCTGTTTGGATCTCCCTTCAAGTTTTATCGATTCTCGTACACGATTGACGATGAAGAAAATTTACAGTCTGCCAGGAGAAAAGTCTTATTAAAGAGTCTTCTAAAGCATTGACACTGGTGTGTCTCATAAGACGTTCGGAACACAATGGTCAAGGATACTGCCCACACGCAGTCTTGATGAAGGCGTCATGCTTCTCCTAGTGATCAGGGCAAGCAGTTCTCGTTGAAGGCACCTTAAATAACGCCCTCCCAGAATTGTGTGAGAGGTGTGATAAAGAACTTTTCTATGAATTCCCTTACCTTATTCTTCACCGTTCATAATTATTATATTATACAATATTTAACGTTATTAGGTGATGTAATGTCGTTGAATGACCCGTCAGATTTTTCTCGCTTCAAGTCTTGCAGAAGTTACAAGTTTGAAGGTGAGAGCAGCTTACACATCGCCCTAATGATGGAGGCAGCAAGGACCTCTAAAATGCCGGTAATATTCTACCAGAATACGCGGCGGCACAACACAAAAGATAGACTCGCTGCCGATAGAACTTTAAATCTCACGACACTTAAATCATTTCGAATAATAAGTTAAATCTGCCATTAGTATGTAATCTACCTGTATTGAATTTATTCGTTTATTTTTTTAAACCACGCTTTTTCAACTACAGGTGTTACATGGCATCGAATGAGGACTACAGTGAGTTTAGAAATACGTGTGTGTAAGCAGACGCAATTTGTTTTTAAATTGTCCCAGAAATATTTAGAAAAGAAAGCGTCGGTCATAACATTTCGTATTCCGGCGGAGACGTAATCAGATATTTCCGGAACGCGTGTAAAGTATAGAGCGGAGTTTTGTTTGTGGGTTTCGTTTCATTCTAGGAATAAACAGTGTAGATTAAGTTCTAAAATTTTGCTAACATTTAGATCAAATTTGTTTGCTTTCCAGTCTCCTGTTTAAAAACAAAGATTTAAACATATGGATTATAGGTTTATGGAAGAACGTAGATTTAATAACAAAATTAGCTTCATAATTTGTGGTTTTGAACAAATATTATTAGAATTATCAAATCAAGGAGTGCGAGACATGAGAAATGCTTACAAAGTTTTGGTAGGAAAGCATCTAGGGACGATACCACTTGGAAGATCTAGTTATAAATGAGAGGGAAATATTAAAATGGATATGAATATAATAAAATGTGACCATGTAGACTGGTTTAATCTGGCTTAGAATAGGGACTACTGGCTTGTAAACATGGTTTCGAGCCTTCGATGTACGTTAATGTTGTAAATGACCTAACTAGATGTGACACTACTAGCTTCACAAGTGCACTACTTCATGGAGTTAGTATTTTTCTTAATCGAATGCCATTGGTGACGTGTTAACTATCTCACGTAATATATTATTTAAACGTGCTTCGCAATGAAAGATATTAATTACTACAGTCACACAGTAGCGAGTTTGATGTTTGTCGACTCCATTAGCGAGGAACACCGGCACACCGTCGTGCGTGTATGTGGGTAACCTTCGGAATTTCACTACACACTATCTCTAGTACGAAAATTGTACGATATGCAAAAAATATGGAAAGACTGGATTCCCATTACAAATATCTCCGTCATTGCATCCATGATAAATTAGACAGAAATTTCCCGTTGTAGTTAAAATTTTTACCCCGCGTATTGGCAGCCACTGCATAACCACCACCAGCGCGATAAGTAACCTGCAGAAACAGATTTATATACAAGTTTTGTGCTCCATATAGTCTCTTCTTTTGTCCCCGTGGTGGGTTAAATGGTCTGGGGACAGAACAGTCCTGAAAATATAGCGCGTCCACACATAAAGTTGAACGCAGCTGTCACTCTCCGGTTATCGGCTGGAACTGCATGACTTACCGCCAAGCACTACAAGGTCTTTCCGATACTAGTCAACTTACATTTTTTATAGCAGTTCTTGTCGAAAGTCGGGAAGTGACAGTTACGTTCAGCTTTGTTGGTGTTTGAGACAAAGTGTATAGTTCGATATTGCGGTTTAAGAGTGGTGATTGGAGAAAGTTATACGTCAAGGGATCTGGTGATAAGTTTTTGTAGGATGATGAGAAAATTTCAGGTGACGAGTTTTTGATGGACTGAAAACATGAAACTGTCAAAAATGTTGGAAAGGAAACGGCTTGGAAAGAAACCACTTTGCAGGCCGACACAGTGATGAGAGAATTTCTTTTAAAATGAATGTCAATTACCTCGGAGGAGGAAGATTCTACACTGGAAGATTGCTCCTGAGCCACGACAGTGCTGCCACCTGTTGGGACGAGTTCTGCCATCTTGTCTCTGCTGTTTTGTCTGTAAGTCATAAGGAAATTCAGGATCCTTTAGAAATTTGAATCAGAACTATGGATTATCCTAACCTGAAACATTACACTTGAACATTAGCAGGCGTGAAAATTGCGTGCAGTCATGAGTATGTTTGAAAAACAATTGATTTCTGAAAATAATAATTCAAAACTTAAGTTTCCTTCTATATTCTTCATGGCGGCCTATTCTAGCTTCTTTTACGTCTGTTTTCAGTTTACTGTTCTTTCATATAAGCCGTAAGTTAACATTCTTACGTTACACAAAGCATTTCCTTGATGTTTTAGTGTCAAATTATTAACGGATTGAAACGCCAAGATCTTGAAATAATTTGTATACGAAGATGGCTGTCTTCTGGGTTGTTGCGCCGTGTAGTGTGGTAGAAGTTTACCGACGTTTCAGAGCTCCTTGCTGCCTCCATCATCAGGGCGATGACTATACGGCGGAAGAACCCAGAAGACAGCCATCTTTAAACTCACCGCCGTGAAAACCTCAAATCCTACAACTTTTACACGTATTACAATCTACTGTTCTTCACTGTTCTAAGAATGTTTTGCGTGTATGTAAAACGTATTAGAGTGGATCGGCAAAGAATCCAGTGTGAGAGATATTTTGTGATTATGGTGTCGAATTTTCGGGTTTAATAAAAACTAAGTGTCTTCGTTTGGTATTTATTCTGTTGTGGACTTTCTTAGCTAACTCTTTATTTAGTTATCAGCTTAGATAATATTAAGGACCGTTTACTTTACGGAATTCGCTTTTCTGCTGTTTTAACTAGGTACTGTTTCTATAAGATTTCGGATTAATAAAACTGGGTTAAATGGACGCAAGGGCAGTGCGCACATCTCTTTGGTGTCGAAACAGAGCCATGATGGATGGTTGACTCTCGCAAAGGAACTCAGCGTGAATCCCCCATTGACTTGCTGTTGGAATAAATAACTGTTCGCCCAGGAAACTGCAAGGAAGCTCGAGAGACTGCAGAGGCTATTTTTGTCGAACAAATCTCTCATTCTGAATTGCCGCTACACAATGCACAGCCTTCACGTAAACATACACAGCCAGATCTTGCCAAACAGCAGGCCATCTGCGGGGTAGAGTGACGCAAGTACACTGCCACGTTAGAGATCCAAACCTTTCCATATGGAAAGTATTTCAGTATCATAGCTCTGATTATGGAGGCAGTAAGCACCTCTGAAACGTCGGAAAACTTCTATCAGTCTACGCGGCGTAACAACCCAGCAGACAACCATCTTCAATTTAATCTTATTATTAATCTTTATTATCATCATAAAAGTTATCATTATCATCTTCATGATTAGTGGCTAGTTTATAAAATGTTTAAAGTCGTTGTTGTTATGTATTAATTTAGTTCTGAATGGAAACGTTGGGGAAATAATTTGGCGTGGCCTGTGTGACGGTATTATCCGAAAATTCATCTAATTGTATGAGGATAACCATGTAGCATCTAAATAAATTTATTTTATCAGCCAAGCTTCGAACCTCAAACCTCCAGAATACGTGTCAGGCCTGTTACCGATCAACCTATATGTTCGTTTGAATCATTATTTTTCTTTTGGGGGCAGCTGTGTCTTTTCTGTGGATGATAATTACAGAGACGCGTATCATAACTTTTCTCAAAAATGCCGATATCTCCTATAACATCTATACAATTATTTGAAAAATTAAACATAAAGTTTGTGAAGTCCTTCAAGTAAATTGCTGTCAGTGATTGATAAAAGTAGCCGTCATCAAACTGCATCCTACAAGGCCACGGAAAGACTTAAACGTCAACGCTTACCACTTTGCTGCGATGTGAGTTATGAGCTGTCTTTACTCATCTGGGCTCCGCTGTTCATGTTACAACGATGAAAAATTTTGCTGTGACCTTGAAACGTGCGATTTGTTGGCGGCTACTCTAGTTTTTAATTTTACAGTCATGTCTCATTACTCAACGCCTTCCTTCCTAAATCATTTTACTAAGAACAGGATATTTTCACAAATGGACAGACATGATTTTTGCATGAGGGGTGTGTAGGCTATTCCCTTACGTCTTAGCACGAATCGATGATGTTCAAATGACTGAGGAATGCAACATTTGTAGCTGTGGTTGGCTTACTCACGTGTAATAGTAAGGATATGCCTCCGGTTCAGCTGATGCCTGTGTCTTGTAGTTGTCTCTTACTACAGGAGGTGCCTGAATATCGTGTGTCTGCAGAGTCTGCAAGAGATAGATGCATCGTAGTATTACTTCGTAACATGTCCTGGGCGCTGCTTATAGCATAATGCGACAAACTGTTCATATAAACTGAAGTGTGGGTTTCATCTACATTGAAACTGACAACAGTATTTGCATACTTCGTCATCCACTTTTTAATATCGTCAGTTCTTGTGGTAAAAGGAAACATACATTTTATTTATGATTTGAGGTTTTTACAGTCGTGAGTATGAAGATTTCTGTCTTCTGGATTGTTGCGCTGTGTAGTCTGGTCGAAACATCGACCAGACTACACAGCGCAACAACCCAGACGACAGAAATCTTCATACATTTTATTCTTATATGTAATATGATATTTTTGTTTTATGGATGGATACTCTTGTTGTATGTTTGGAAGGTCCCGGTTTTAAGTCTCGGTCCATACACGTGCTATCTTGACTGAGATTCCCATAATTTTACTCACACTCTCCAGGAAAATGCTTCCATAGTACCTTAAAGTAGGTCACGACTTTTTGCATATTCTTTACAGTTATTTTCTTTTCACTGATTATCCTATCATTCGACGCAATTTAGTCTGATTTACTGACAGCGTCGTTAAATAAACAAAATAGATGGGACAGGTGGATAGGCAGACGTACACAGCATGTATTAATTTCTAATGTACCTTGGAATTTTCGGTCTAATAATTATTAAGGCTTTGATGTAAATTCGTACTTATTCTTCCAGGTATTTTAGTGATAATGAAGCATTCACTTGCCCTAATCTGACGTTTCGGAAATTGCTTCGTCTCCGTCCATATGAGTATCAAATTTCCTGCCCTGTTACCTGATGACAGAGACAGCCATTATCCGAAACGCCGGTTTCAAGAAAGGCTCGACTGTGTCAAAAAAAATATATTAATATTTATTCATTGGCCCATTAAACGGCTTCATTCGTTGTTGACCAAATAGCAGTGCCATTTGATGTATAATTTGCTTAAAATTGCTACTACGTCTGACATTGTTTTATTTACACCATTCTGTTTCCTATTAATTTTGTCACTGTGCAGTCTAATACTCTGTTATATCAAAGTTGACGGTTCGCCGTGTTTATTCGACAACTTCTCCGACATATGACTGTTGCAGGCAGTCTAAAGAATATGGTCCAGGCGCATTGTATATCCGAGTGTTTACTTCCCAGTTGTGCTTCGCACCAACTACGCACATACGAGTAGATTGATTTAATAAGAGATTATTTTTTATTTTTATCCTTTTCAGCCCTATCAAATCTTTTGAAGCCGAAGCTCGTCTAAACGAAGTTTAAAAATGTAGTCGTACCTGATAGAAACCAAAGTACGTCATTATCACAAAGATCAGCTTTCTAATGCTGTTTGAGGAAGTAATCTCTGTTTACAGCAAGAATTATACTAAACTCTCTCTTTCTCCTGTTCTGGGTCTCTCCGAGGGTGGCAGATTGGTTCCCGCGGTGCTGTGGGGTTGGTGATGACTTCAGGGCTAGAGACTGGGGAACCAGTACTTGGTAATCACCACACTGCATGTCATGCGGGACTGATTCTATTGCCACACAAAAGAGATGACATTTTTGTAAGGGCTCGACATGTGCAAATGACAATTGCAAGAGACTCACTGTCTGGTTAGTGATGGGATGTGCCGGAAGAGAGAGGTACATGGGGAAAATATCGATGAGTGCCGGCCTTACCGAACACATTGCAATTCAATCGATATCACATCAAAACAAATACATATTTTGCTGTCTGGATAAGAGTTTTATTATGTTAAAAACAAAACAACTGAATTTGTTCGTCTATCTCACAGAATCACGTTCGTCATAATTAATCGAATTAATTATAAATATATATATATACATACACATATATATGCATACACATACAAAGTGAGGAGTTATTGATTATGAAGCAAGTGGGTCGTATAGTTATCAAAAATTATTTGCCGCAAAGAAAATTAGTATACGTAAAATAGTGATCCGAGTAGGAATTAAGTTATAATTTGTAATTTAAACATTTTTGGTGTGTTATGGAACGTAACGAAATATGATACAAATGATGCATGCCTTTATGGAGTTATATCCTTACCGTTGACTAGCCATGTTAGCATTAGGAGATATGACTGTACATAGACTGTAGTATCTCTACTGTTTTTTAGGTCTCTTGACGATACACTTTTGTCTGCAATAAATTTACATCTAGCACACTATGCATTTTGCTGCCTTAATTGCTTGGTACAGAACCCTTCTTGAGAAGTTGAAAGTTCTCCCACTTAGTCAATAAATTCCCCGAATTTTATGGAACACGAAAGTTCATTACCGTGTTTACAAAAGCCTGCTACCGGTGTCTACCCAGATCCAGATGAATGCCAGTATTTATGCATAGGGCCGAACGGAAAATCACATTGCATTACTCATTCTCCTTTGCGTACATCCGGTTCGAATATAGACTACCAGGACTAGTTTTATCGGGCTAATTCTTTCATTACTATCCTCAATGTATCTGGGAAATGCTTGATATTGCTTCCTCAAACCTCATAATTTACTTTATTAAACCCTCGTTTTAATAAATTGTCGTTAAACCAAGGAAAAAATACGTAAAAAATAAAATTTTAAATGGAAGCTTGAAGCTCTGCCATTAAAATGTTGTTGTTTGGCAACAAATTCAGATTCACTGAAAGTATATCGGAGAAAATTAAAATTTTAAAAATGACAGTAAGATGCCAATAATGAGCGACGTTTTCACATATTTTAAGAAATTTCAGTAATTTATAATATTTTTGAATGTAAATTCATTGATTTGGCATGCAGTTTTAAACATGCTGAGGGTGTTGTACCGTTTACAAATTTCTCTACTACGCGTTGGACCGTCGGAGAACTTGGCAGCCAAAAAACATAAATAAAATAAAAAAGATGCCGAAGACGTGACTGAAGCAGTTGTGCGCCTCTCCCACGCGTTGTGGCCAGACTCCCAAGTCGGTCCGGCCGGTCAAAGGACAGAGACTCTACCCACAATGCACTACACGGCGCCGTCGCCATGTTGATATTGTTTGAGAAACGAAAGAACGTTTCGTGTTTAAAATCCCTCATCATAACAATCTCTAAATAAGTTATGTCGGTTCATCAGCCTTTATAAACTCAGCTAAGAGTATATACCGTGGTAGAGATGATAAATGCTTACAAAATTTTCGTATGGAAGCCTCAAAGGAAGAGACAACTCGAAAGACGAGGGAATAGATGTGAAGTTAATATAAAAATAGATCTTTAGCACATAGGGAGGTGTATATTAGATTGATCTGGCTTAGGACAACAACCAGTAGCTGGCTGTTGTAATAGCGATAATAAACCTTCTAATTCCATAAAGTTCTCACCTGTGTAAACTGAAGTCGAGAGAGGCTTGTGACTCCATCTTTAAAAGGCTGAAGATCATTAATTTTGTTTCTAAATTCTTTTGTAAGTCATCTTAATTTTGTATCACTGAGAAAAAATGAGTTGAGGGAATAATATTAAAATGTACCTTAATGAAATACGTGTTGGTAAACTTCTACGAGACTACACGGCGTAACAACCTAGAAGACAGTCATCTTAAAATATTTTGTACTTCCCCATGCATGCTACATGCTCAGAAAATCTCATCCTTGATTTGGTCAACCTAATAAAACTTGCTGCAGTTTACAAGGGGTTCAGAGAAAATAATTTTATATTTTTTTAAACCAGTGTTTCATAGAATTCTTTATGCTGCGGCACTGTAAAGTAATCCTAGCCTGTATTTAAGTATCACTGGACAATCGAATCAAGCATTTGTTGACAACTGTGTAGTTTATGGAGGTTGTCCCAAAAAGTTGTATACACAGATTCAGTGAATGAAATAAAGACATTTTAATAAACTAACCCAGCGTGGTCCAACTTTCGGTCCGTGACCACTTGTAATCCGGCCCGTGAAAGTATTTATTATTTTTTATTAGTTGGTACAACCAATTTATTATAAATATTTGTTGTAGGAGCAAATTTAAACTAATATACAAGTAGTTTGTTTACGTTTAAATAAAATTTATATTTCAGCATATGCAATGGTAATCTGTCATTTATGAATAAGTATTATTAAAGATAATGACAATGCAAAAATAGTGACAGTAGGGGTTTTTGTCCCTTGGGTCCAACAGCAAAACTGTTCTGGCTCGAGCGAGGAAAAAAGTTGGACCACCCTGAACTAAACCATTGCATTTGTCAGCATTGGCATTATCGAATCTAGTGTAGTGTTCAAAATGACCACCCTCCACGTCTTCTGCAAGCACAACGCGAGAATCGATAACAAGGTCAGCATTCCTTATTAAAATGTGTATACATGTTCTGGGGTGAATTCTTTACATATTTACCCGCAATTGTGTTCATTCAGGGGCAGCGGAGCGTTCATGTTAACCGTGTTAGCCCGGCTGATATTTAAAAAAATAGTGGTACTCCATACACCTCCAGTCAGCCAGGCGTTGTTGGCCGGATAGTTTACGCTCGGAGCGAGCGCCCTGCTGTGTTCCAATGTTTGGAGCACCACAGAAACATGAAAGTGAGACAGAAGGGCCTTTTATTTTTCATTTTTCAAACTGTTAACCGTTATACGGTTAAAATGAACGCTTCGCTTCATGGTCATGCATTTTATTTATATAATATTCTTGTAATTAGCCGTCACAGTGGCCGCGTGGTCTGAGGCGTCGGCCTTGTGCCGCTTGGTCACTGGGACCGTGGTTTCGAATCCCACTCAAGCCATGGATGTTTGTCCGCGATTTTCTGTGTTGTGCTGTCCTGTGTACAGGTAGAGGCCTTGCGACGGGCCGATCCCTCATCCAAGGAGTCCTACCGAATGTCTAATAGATCAAAGCTAACGATAATTGGGACCCGCAGATGCTCAAGGCACTGAAGAACGGGTCGACTAAGTATCCTAAGTAAGTAAGTAAGTATCTTGTAATTAGAAATTTAACTGATTAACATATATTAAGAAAGGCTAACAAGTAGAATATTAAAACTGTATCTGTTATTCTAAGTCTGTAGCTAATATATAGAAATACGAGTAATGTGGAGTCAGAGTTAGAAGGCGAGTGTATGACAAAGCAGCTGGATTGTTGTTTAACGTAAAAGGAATCTGGATTTAATACGTTAAGGCGTCTTTAGAATCACTTAGCTACACAGCCTTTGAGAAATAATAGTTTAATTATTAGGCTACTTTTTTTTTTAACAAGGATCTTACCGTGAGTTCATTGTGGTTATTATTCCTATTTCGAAAAACTTCATTTCGCCACGATTTTGACAGAACTTTGACCACTCTTTGCGTCCCTTTGTCATGTTCATTCTGTCTTTAATATACTTGAGAAGTTCTTCTCGATGTTCCCTCTTCGTCTTTCGGTTTGAGACAGTTTCTGATTTTACCCTTACATTGAACTTTACTCTGTAACATTTCGTACTTTTGCGCTGGTTTATTTTCAACTGCTTTTACATTCAGATCTAAAGTTTCAGAATTTGTAGCCCGGATCATTCGTCAGGACGTGCCAAAAATTACATCACTGTTCATTAACGAGTAGAAAACTAGAAGGTGTCTCAATACTGAGCGCACAATTCGGTTGTAAATGCTTCCCTTCAACTTCACTATCTTACCGGTGTAGAATAATGAAATGCAATTTAGTTAAAGCGACTTAATTCCATTAATTAATTACCTCTATATACTTTTATAACTTATTAATTTAATTGTGTGATTGATTACGTTCAGGGGACCACAGTTTAATCCCATCCAAACAACAAAACAGAGACCTGTCGTTGCGATAAAATATGCGATAGACTGCCTTCATGCACTTCGTCAGAGATACTGGACCTGTGGACATTAAACACGACTGTATTCTGGATGATGTACAGTGCAGTCTCTTAGAAGTTTAACAACTTTCTTTTTAGAAATGTTCTTATGACTGTCATTGCCCTGATGAGGGAGGCAGCAGTCGTCTCTGAAACGTCGGTAAACTTCTATCAGACTACAAGGCGCATAAAACCCAGAAGACAGCCATCTTCAGATATAAACAAATCAACAAATGCGAATAGACAGACAGACAGGGGTAAATAAATTAACAGAGAAAAATACAACAAGTCTTTCAAGAAAATAAATTAGGAAAAGAAAAGATAGATACATATAACTCAATCGTTTGAATTTTTTGTATAAAATTGCGTGCTACTTTACAGAAACACCTTCGTAGCATCTGTGTAAAAGATTCAGCTTATCTAAACGTCATTTAAATAAAAAGTTCTTTGGATATTTTCCATCGTCTAATAAAATTCAACGACGTTTCGGAGATGGGACTCTATCTCCGGAGATAGAGTCCCATCTCCGAAACGTTGTTTTACGTTTTATATTTTATATTTTACTAGACGATGGATAATATCCAAGGAAATTTTTATTCAAATGACTCTTCACCATCGTCAAGAAGTTTTAGATTTGATTTATCTAAACGTGTCCCTATACCCGCCCGCCCTCCAATCTGGGTATGCTTTACGCAACAACTGCTTATGATATTTGTTAACTGTGCTCCGAAACAAATTGAAGCGACATTTGTTGCCCAATGAGGCAAGAGATCCAATATTAATATGGCGGTCGGTCACTCACCCGGTTCTTTAGCCCGAAGATGATAAGAAGAAAGTCCCACAGAACACTTAAGACGTACCGGATCATCGTGTAACACTATCATTCCATATGAAGCTTAAATTCAACACTAGCAGTCCGAAGGACATATTTCATCTCGCTGCTTCTTAACTCGATCGAGTGTAGCTTGTCGAGAACAGACGAAGGGTCAGCGTCCCGCACGACTCGGGAAACTTCGTGGTCACTCGGGCCCTCACGAGTCTCGTTGCTTACTTAAAAATAGACGATTTTACGAACACCAGGTATAAACTAGACAAGGGACAGAGTTATGTAAGAGGAGGGAAGGACAGACAGGAAACTCGAAGGATAAACGAAGTAAGGTGAGAGTTTATTGAGGAAGGAAATTACGACATTAAGAAGAGAAGAGGATAAAATGGAATGGGGGAAGAAACGTAAAGAAGAATAAGGGTAAGGAAAGAAAAGAGGTAAGGTTACAAATATGGAAGGAATAAATAAACAGACAATAAAAACACGAGTATATAATTAATTAGTAAATGAATGAATACACCTATCCCGTTGGATAACAGCCTGTTCCTACCTTTGCTTCACTAATCAGCACCATAAAATCTGTCTCGTTAGTCAGTGCCTGTCCTATATAAGGCCCCAAAACGTCGCTTCGCTACATAACCACTTTGAAAATTGCAACTACAATGTTTTGCGAAACGTTGGTTAACACCAAACAATCAACGCGGCTCACACTCGAAAGTCAAACAACAGTTAATTACAAGCTAATATCACAATGGAAAGCCTCAAGTCTTGCAAGTTTTATTATGCTAATATGTTCGGAGAGTGGAGTCGTTTTTGTTTATGGTTTATTTAACGAAACTATCAGGGCCCTCGACTTTAATGGAATCCGTGAGGTGGCGATGAGGGGACGTGTAAAATGACTGTGGTGATCTTTAAGAGATGGTAACGTTACATTTGCTCTAGAAGGCTGTTATTTTATCTGATAGGTCTTTTCGAATCTGTATCTTAAACTATAAAATACGCATGCATCTACGTAAAAATACTCCCCAATAAAACAAAGGATTTGCCAATTTTTTATTCGAGTCTGACGAAACAATACATTTGTCACTGTTATGTAATGTTTTTAAACAAATTTAATAATTGTTATCGTGTATAGATGTATGATATCCTAAGAGTTCTGCTACGATTTATGGCCAAATTGATAGAAACTGTTATCAATGCTTGGGCAAAAGAATTTGTTATTCCTCCCGTTAACTGTAAAATATAGTGTTGGAATAGGAACGAAGTAAATGCACGTGACAAGATATACAACACGAAGCGATCTCAGAAAATAGCCACAATCAAAGGCTGTTACCCTTTATAATAACGTTTAGTTCCAAGGCGATGAACTCCTTTCAACACTTGCAGCACAATATTTTAGTTAAGTTATTCATACGGCCGCGTGTTTGTGTGGGCCGGAACAAAGTCGTCTCACTGTCCATTTCTACTCAGTCGCTGACATCGAATACGAATTTTCTTCGATGGTCTGGGCCCGTCGTTCTTATGCTGTCCACGTGTTACCACACGCCCTTCACCTACCTTATCTCCTCAGCCTTCAAAGCACAGTGGTAATCTTATGTACCACCTGCTTTAATATTTTGCAACTCTAACTTTTGTTGTCGATAAAGTGTTCTGTTTTCAGCGGTTATTTTCTTAAACAGCATTTATCGATGTCTATATTTCGGACGCCATGTTTTGTTGTAGGAAGGAAATTAATTTTTGAATAAATTGGATATTTATAAATTTTTGCAATATTGGGATATTTTCATCGTGTGATTGGTAACACTGCTGAGGCTTGCTCATTCTATAGCTCAAGGTCAGATAATGGCATGCTGCGAGTGTGGATCAATTGAAATCTGTGCCGAGTGATGGCTGTTCCAATAAAGGTTTTTACCAAGGAACAATGTGTTACAGTGAAGTGTATTCTTGTAGTCTGAATAAGTGAAGGGCAGTAGTTGCCTTACTGGTTTTAATAATCCCCCTCCCAAATGCGTGCCGCATGCCCCGCCCACCTCATCCTCCTCTATTTAATCACCCTAACAACATCAGGTGGGGAGTACAAGTCATGAAAATCATCATTATGCAGATTTCTCCGCTATCCGTCTCCCTCCCTTTTAGGTCCAAATATCTTCCTCAACACTGTTCTCAAAGACCCTCAATCTGTGTTCCTCCCTTAAAGTGAGTGACCTAGTTTTGCACCCATACAGCACAGCTGGCAAAATTACACTTTGGTATATTTTAATCGTTAGATTTTTGACGTGAGAACAAAAGATTTTTACTGAATGATTGCAAGCATTCCCTGGATTTAATCTGCTCTTGATTTCGTTATGAATCCCATTCTGACTTGTTAGTGTCGTCCCCAAGTACTTGAATGTTGTCATATTTTCGAACGATTCTGCTTCTGTCCTTAATTCTGATTCCGAGACATGATCTTATACTTTCTTTTCTCTGCTTCTGTCCTTAATTCTGATTCCGAAACATGATCATGTACTTTCTTTTCTGCATCTATCTCTAGACCAACATCCCTACTAGCCCTTAAGAGTATTTCTGTGTTTGCTTTTATAGTATTTATATTATCGCCCAACAGATTAATATCATCAGCATAGACCAAAAGCTGATGTGTCCAATTCATTTCTAATCCGCCCTGATTATCTTGGGTTGTCCTGACGACATATTCTAAGGCAAAATTGAAAAGCAGTTGCAATAGAGCATCTCTCTGTTTCAGGTCATTCTGAATAGAAAATGTATCGGACAAATGCTAACCTACACAAATTTTGATAATTGTTTCACTTAAGTACATTTTAATTCTTAGGTACACCAGATTCAAACAAAATGTTGTAAATCCTGGGTCGAATCGTAGGTGCGTTATGTTCTAGGGGCATAGAATTGGAACATTGGGCAGGAATTTTAGAAACCCTAATCCAAATGCTTCCGTGGTTTTCTTTGAAGATGTTCATTTACTTCTGTTCGATGTCGAAGTTAAACTTCGAATATCCTTCCACAATTTGGTGTCTGCGTATGAGTAAAAATCAACTGGTACTTCATTCGATACAACGCAACTTGGTGCAGAAACAGCATCTATAAATATCCTCAGAATCGATTTAATTATTTCGCTGTTTGTTGTGCTTATAGGTCAGTGCCATCTACAAAGACCCCTCCTTGGACTCGAACATGCGATTGGTCATCGTCCGGATGATTTTTTTTGAAGATGAAAAAGACAGTCAGGTAAACACAATTTACATAAAATGTTGGAATTCTTCAACTCGCGGATTCCTTAGTTAACCTAGGGATTCCCCAGTTACTTACGCTACAACAGAAACATAGATTTTCGATGCCCGATTTATCTTTTTAATCCCAACCATTCATAATCATCTTATCAGTCTACGTCTTTTACCAACGTAGTGTAAAATGCATCATTGAATAAACCATATTTGAAACTATCGTTCTTTTCTGGCCTTCTCGTCAATGCGTCCCAACCTCCACCTGCTACTGGTTCCTTTGTGTTTCACATTTATCGAGAACCCATAAAACACAAAATTTGATAAACAGCCAAAAAAAAAAAAAAAAAAAAAAAAACATGGCACAGAGAGGATGTATATACAGATGGAAACGAGATTCGCGCACGAGATCTCCATAGTGCGATTCCTTGTCAAAAAAGTCGAAATGTCCTGAGACGCCTGGTTTTCGAGATACGAGGTGCGATCGGAAAG